AAGCTCTTAAATGGATCTTTAGGCACACATTCACATCAATAATTCATATTGACAGTTGTAGGAAGTGCAAGGAAATCTTCGCAACTTTTATAAAAGGCTTTAAATGGCATTATGTTAAGCTAACCTACATTTTCAATCAGTGACATAAGTAGTAACTGTACATTTTGTATGTGGACTGAATGCCCTTTGTAGGCTTACAGCCATTTTGTCTGGCACTGATGGTAAATGGGGTCTTTGGGTCAGGAGCAGCAGCACTCTTTCTGCTCTCTCAGGCCAAACCAGAGGCTTTTCTTGCCTGGACATACGCAGTAAAATCCCCATGTAATCAAGCAGCTGGAAGGTCTGCTTTTTGGGGATTTAGTGCAATGTGGCAGGTGCCAATCTGACTGCAATCACGATTTACACAGGCCCTGCTCCTGATGGCATTCAGCAACTTTAACAACAGCTGATGCTCGGAGAATAACTGCAAGTCATTCATTTATTTTCTTGCACAGCACTGTATCATAGACAAGGTACACAAGAACCCAGTAGAGATGTACTGTATGCACTAAAACATATCTTGTGAGATCTGGGTTGGTGCGGGGGTTTTATCCAAGAGAGTAAAAGTCTGTATGTGTATTGTTGTCTTAATTATCTTTTATTTCAGTTGAAGTTTTGTTTTATTGTTGTTGGGGGGGCTTTTTTGTAGTACGTCACACAGAGCACCTATGCAAAAACAATGTAAACAAATCTGTATGAATAAAGGTTAAATCATTTGAATAAATGAAAATTCCCTGGGGGTGAAAGATTGTGCGTGTACGTGTACCTCTACACAGTGAGCATCTTTGCTAATATTTTGGGCATTGATGTGTGTTTGAAGAAAAATAAACTGTGAAAAGGAGACAAAAATAAGAGCCTGAGCTAAAAAAAAAAAAAAAAAACAGAAAATAAGAGAAGGTTTGTAAAAGACAGAAACTCCCGGAGGCAGTAGGACAGTGGGACACACACACACTGACGGGTTTAGCTGTCCCTCCTCTGTCTGTCTATTATTGATGTCGGGCACGCGGGGTTCCCACTCAGCCATCTGTTCTCAGCTCTCCCACTCTGTGCCCCTTTTGCTTCATGCCTACCACTTTGGCAGGCTGGCATAAGCAGAGCAATGCTGTCCTATCAAAGTGTGAATACTTCATAAATATCTCACACTATCGGGGAGTAAGCTATTGGAGGAAGAGCCCAGAGAGAGGAATGAGAAAAAGTAATGTGATGAAATTTTCATTAATTCAGGCTCTTTGTTGGATGACTTCCAACACATGCATTGATTTGCGGTGCGAGATATAATCATGTCACAACTGCATCAAATATAAACAGAATTGGCGGTGGGTTGTGTTTTGTGATGGACTGTCAATAGTCCTCTTCTGCATGTTTTCAGATGTTAATCCAATCACAGCCACACCCTCCTACTGTTAATAGCATATGGCTGCAGGTTTGAATTTGATTTGACTTGTAATGGATGACCATGCATATTCAGTTGAGCCCGTTGCCAGGGGTAACAGGGACCTGTAGGTCGTTTGATTGGCTGCAGGGTGGTCACATGAGGCTTCGCTTGGCCCCAGCTGGGACAGAGGCCACATGTGGCGAGTCTGGAGATGTGAAGGGTGGTGTGTGTTTGCAAACACTTGGCTTCGCCTCCCAGTTAATCCACAGATGCAGTTCTCATCTGTGCACACCCTTCCCCTCCCACCACACACACACATACAAACTTGCAGAAAATGAACTGTAAAAGTTGCATGTCGGTCTCATGGAGAAACTGCTAGCATCAGTGGGGCTGTCTGGCTTAACACGTGTCTTCAATTATGTCCTTCTGACTGACAGACAGGAGGGGTCAGATGTGGGTAAGGGGATGCCAGGGGCTGTGGGATGGTGATAAAGGCAAGATATTGGTTTGGGGCTTTAGAAATCTAAGCTATCACTCCATCGTGTGACTTGTATTTTCCTTATTCCTAGAGGGGTGAAAGAAGCTTTATTCTCTATTCCCTAACCCTAGCACCAGAGTTAAGACCCCCTGGGGTGTACGAGATGAGAGGGAAATTAATAATGTGTAGAGACTCAAAGGCTTTGACTGAACCAAAGGATCAGAAGAGGGTGAAGAGAGTGCATTAGAGGCAGAAAGGGAAACAGAAACACGGACAGAGAGGAAAGCACAGACAGGCCACCTTCGAGCAAAGGCTGGGAAGAACAAGGAGTGGCATTATGAGACGGATAAAAGAAGGCAGCTCCAAAAGTGTTTTAAAAAGATCAGCAATAAAAAGGGATACTCCACTAAAAATCTTTGAGGATCGAGTATCACTCAGAGCCTCTAGGCTTGAAAGGGGGTGGCTTATTTTGGTAGTTTATTCCTTTAAATGGTCAAATAAAATCAATCCTGTATTCACTTTGCAGCAAATCTGTAGCTCTACATTAATTGATAAATACGACATGTAATTGTCATTTTAAAACACTTGCCACAATGTGAGAAATGTATACTTCCTCAGCTGCCCTGAAAACCGATTGCAAATTAGCATTTCTTATCAAAGCCAGAGGGAGTCACGAACTGCCAGTGCTCCCAGTCTTGAGACATGTTTTTCACACCACAGCGTGCAAGTCAAACATGAACACAAAAAAAATAATGTTAAGGAAACTCCAGATTTGATATTAATGGACTTGACCCAGTGCTGTGTGGGAGTCACGCTAGCATGCTCAGCATTGGCACACTCATGCCTTGTCTCCCCATCAGGCCAAGCAGGCCTCGGCCCCGCTGTGACCTCTCTGGCTCAAAGCCAGCAGCTTCGCCATCTTTTGAACCTGCGCAGACCTGGCTGAAACCAGCTGTGTTAAGCCGGATCTGACCACAGCTGATCACACCACCCGGCATTAGATATGAATCACTATTAAATGCTGAATTCATCCACCACCTCCATTTGTCCATCCATCAACCCAAGCAACAGTTTCATTTTTGCTTTTTTATGTTTGCTTTTCTGATGTTTTGTATTGTAATTATGCTGCCTGTCACCCTTCCACAAAGACAATGAAGGCTAATAGGACCCAAAAAAATGGTAACTAATAATGATGCTGGGGCAGTATGCCATATGTGATCCCTCCCTGCAGCATGGGCAGCATGCCACACAGCAACACAATGGGTTTATCCACAGTGATTTATTAAACACCCTAACCATTGGCTAAATTAGAAATCTATTCTTCTCCACTCCATCTTTCTCTGTCTGTCTCTGTTTTTTGGTCTCTATCTTCAAAGAGCAGTTAGAATATATGTTAAGGGGGTATGTAACGGTAGACCGGCCCCATATTGGAACCATTAAGCATGACTGCCTATTACACGGGTCTTTAGCAACTCAGAGAAATAACCCCTTATCATCCTGTCTAGCGATAGTCCCTGTAGAGGTTTCACTCCATAGAGTGGTTAAATGTAAATGAATGGGATGTATACGTACTCCATAACAGTGCTCCATGTAATCCCTCCACTCTCCACAACTGATTGTTAAACATGAGAACAACTTGAATAGAGAGATTGAAAGGTTTTGGTCAAGAGTGCTCCAAAGTACTCTGCAGTCCTAAAGTGGTGGTCTTCTCTTCACAGCAGCCATTAGCATTGGCCCATCTTGAATGTTAAATACCACGAGCGCTGGGATGCTGCATTGTGTGTTTAGACAAGAGGGAGTTTGATGAGAGGCTGTAGATGGTACACCTGCCGAGGAAGAGGGGTTGAGATAACAATTTTCTCCTCCCTGTCAAGGAGACATCTGGCATTGCCACGGTGTTGCAAGCTGAAATACACGCCGGAGTGGTTAATGAGGCGTAGGAGACACAGTTTGTGTTTTGTTGAGGGTGTGTGTGTGTGTGTGTGTGAGTGTGTGTGTGAGTGTGTGTGTTTTGGGATGGTGGTTCCCTCATCTTCCTGAACTAGCCTCTGTAGACCCTGCAAGCACGCCATCTGTAGTCCTCAGCCATAAGCCCACTTGCGTGTGACTCATAAGCAGCGTTAAATCAGCTTAAATACAGGCACACATTTAACCTTCTTCTCCTAAAAACGTAAATAGGAGAAGTGGAAAGTATGGAGGTTAACAAACAAAACAAGATAGAAGTAAAATAAGGAAAATATGGGCATGGTCCAGTGTGTGACTATGTGTGTGTGTTTGTGTGTGTTAATGTGTAATTTAACCAAAGTGGTACCCACCCATCTGTGACTGTGCGCCACATGTCTTTGGATGTCACCATTAATTTGGTGGCCTGCATTATGTTTACACACAGTCCTTTGTGGCACCGCATACGCTGAGAGGGGTTGCTAAGAAACATGCAAGTAATGTTCGATAACACCCTTGGAGAACAGAGAATGTTGAACTGAAATGAACATAATGTCTTTTATGATTGTTGCTTGACTGTTTATTGTTTAGTTACTTTTGTTGATTTTGTTGTGATTGTTGTCTCTGATTAATTTTTTTTGTTATTTTTATTTTATTGTTGCCTTTGACTGTTTATCTTCTTAGTTACTTTTGTTGAATGTTGTTGATTGTGGCATCTAATTATTTACATAACAGTTTTTTAATTTCCTTATAGTTGATAATGGTTGCCTTCGACTGTTTATATGTAACTTGCTTTTTGTCACTTTTGTTGTCGATTGTTGTCTGACAATTTCTGTTGTTGTTACTTTTATAGTTAATTGTTACCCCAGTGGTTTATATTATATATTTATTATATATTATATTATTATGTTACTGGTTAATGCTTTTGACTGTTTACTGTTTTGTTAGTTTGTAATCCTGGAGTCTACTTGAGATAATACAGTATCACATTATAATAATAGTGTCAATGAAACAAGAAAGGCAGAAGGAGCTAGGAATAAACATAAATTATGTGAATTTTATTTTGCAAATAAAATGGTAAGCAATAAAGAAATGTACTTAAGAAATGCTAAAAAGCAGTTGTAGTTGATTGCTTTGTTTGACTGTTTATGCCTTTATTTATTTCAGGTAATCTCCGCTCTGTCAAGGATCTCCCACCACAGCATTGCACAGATCAAAGGCATCAGGTATGTGTCTGATTTGTAACCCTCTCATTTATTATCTGAACAGCCAAAGCACTCAAGAGTATCGGTGTCAAAGAAACCATTTGGATGAATGTATTCCACATTTACTTGTATGTCTATATTAAGATGGAGGTGGCTATTAACATCTGCTGCTCATTTAAAAGTCGATTTACATTTTTAGGCAATTAGCTGCCGCTTTTAGACTGTTATCTTTCAGGGCACAAAATAATCCACAACACATTTACATCTGTCACTCAAGCATTACTGCAGCACACTATTTATGTAGACATTTAGTAGTGCTGCTGTCTGAGTCAGAACACTATATTGTACATTTTACACAGATAATGGTGAAGCTGAGAAAATCCCTGGCACTGCTCTATCAGGCCTGGAATGAGCTTCTGATTTCTCTTCATTTGTTCAATCTGCTTGGAGCTTGGTGGCTCAACGGCGCCACATAAAAAGCCATTTTATTCGTCTGAGTAATGAGTTGATGGAGCACACCCATTAGGAGTCATGCCAAGAAATGGAGGGAGAAGAAGGGGNNNGGGGGGGGGGGCAGAGAGAGAGTAGGTCTCTTGCCATTAATAAAGACAACACAACCTGCTGACTGCTGGCTAATTCACTGCCTGCCTACACTGACCATTTTTCTGTAAGGTGTTGAAATCAAGGTTAATTTTACCTTAGTGTAAATCACATTCTGGGCTTTCTTGATCGTGATTTGCTTTCATTTCGGCTATCAGAATACTGATTAAATAGGTAACTTTAAGGTTCAGATTCTCAAACTATGGATCAGAGGTAAGAACCCAGATGGTTCTGAATCTAGCTTTTCCACAAAAGGAATATAACGTTCTCACAAGCCTGGTTTCCAAAGAGGGCAGCCAGGCTAGTTGGTGCTTCAACTGAAGGACAAGCACCTGACCACTAAAGTGTCCTTAAACAAAACACTGAATTCCTTTTAAACCCTAGAGTTACCCTGACGTCTTACCTCGTACCTTGCTTTGGAGGTGGACATGAAAATTCATCTGCCTTATGGGAATCAATAAAGTGTGACTTTATTAAGTAAGGTCAAATTAGACTCTTGGTCTAAACAAGAAAACATTGATTAAGGTGATTAAATGGTACACTGAACTGCATTCGCTCAGGGGAACGTGTCTAAATAGGAATTGGGTTTTATTGTTGGTTATATGTACCAAACTGAATAGAATATTTCTAATGTATAACTCTCTCTGTCTGTTACACTTTATGGCTACAAAATTTTGATGTTGAATTTTATAACAAGTAGAGTAATGACCAAAACGGAATACTAAAACCATTCTCACTGTTTGATAATTTGAAAGTCCATCACTCACTTGCTCTCTAGCTATGGGTTTTTCCCCCAACTTGCTAGGGAAATTTCGGGGTCTCTTAACTTGCTGGATGTCCACCCTCTTCCCCAAGGACTCATCTACTTTAGCGTCCTTGTATTTTTTTATTTCATGTACAATTGCTTTTTTTTCCTTTTTAGCTTGTATTCTGTGACTGGCTTTCCATGATACTAATGAGATGGCTGGAGACATACAAGTGTATGGATTAAAAACTAGTACAGCAAACAGTGAGATGCAAAGTTAGGTGTTGATTCTCCGTGGTATTAGCATTATTCAGTGTTAAGTGCCTAATGGAGCTTAAAGCAACTGTCCGTCTCAGGCTACAGGATTTGCAGATATGCACAGGGGCGTATGACAAATGTGTAATGAGGTCCGTGGCCATGTACCGTAAGACCTAGCATAAACAGGGTGCTACTATCAAGCAGAACACTACATGGATGTTCACTGACCCCAGTTGACCTTTTTAAAGGGTCTTCACACCCGCTTCTTGGTAATCCTGCTTAGGGCAAGGTTAGGTGCATTTAACTGTCAGACCTCTTCTTTCTCGCTTCAAAGCCCCTGTCAACTATGTGTGGCCCTGACAACAGCTATAATTCATTCCAACACATACTATACCATATATTTAAGTAGCGTACCAAACAGACAGAATGACATGGTCATGTCTAGCACCTTTCAGAATACGGTTGCAACTAAAACAAGAGATAAGTATCAAAATGTTAAATAGAATCAAATGAAATTGAAAAGATAAAACCAACTAGAACAACAACATTCCTTTTGTTTTTAATTATTTTTTTGCTCAATGAAAGCAAGTTATAATGTGTGATTTAAAATGTTACTAAATCTTAAAGCCAAGCCAGTCTTAAACAGGTACTTGCAAGCAGGTAGAAGATCAGTGCCTGAGGTTCTCAGATTGCACTCTGATTCTCGAGGGACCTATGAACCAGAGCTGGGTGCCATTGATCCCCACGTTTGATTTTAAAGTCATTTAATTAAGAACAGCAAAAACTCAAACCTAACAATAGTGACTATCAGATTATTTTCTTTTAGATTTAACTTGATAGCCACTTAATCTAATGTGAGAAATGTTGAATATGGCACAAGTGAAGACTGGCCAGCTGCTTCCTAAAGTGAGTTATGAAGTTCTTTTCTTAAATCTTGTGCCTGAAGTTATAATAAAAGAGATGGTTCAGTTGGTTCAGTTGGTTCACTTGGGTCGAATAGTAAGAGGAAACAGGTGCACTTCTCCGTCACTGAATTTCAGATGGGTCCTATATAACAAAAATGGTCTGGCCCATACACTCAGCCCAAATACAGCAATGAATTACTGCCCAGACCAATCTTGCTCTGTGGGTTGCCTCAGTGTCCTTTCCCAAAAGCAATTTAAAAAAAAAAGTAATAATAAATAATAAATAATAAAAAAGGCCACAACTTGTCTTGATAATTGTTTGGTCATTCTATTTTCAACAACAACCTACAAATCCCACTATGTACCTGATTGGTTTTGAATTCAGCTGTGTCTAACTTGAATGTCTCTGTAAACCTTTAGAGGGATACTCGAGCATTTTATTGCACTTCTAGAAAGTTGTGACAAACAGATGGTATGGATGAAACTGAACTTAATGTGTGAAATTGGTGAGATGTCCCTTTAAGAGGCTTACAGAGAAGAACTTATTGTATAAAATGACTTTAACCCTAAGCTCTCAAATCATTTTAGGACAGACACCACATCAGGCCATCCATTGAGTTTTAAAATGACTGGAAAGTTCCTCACTGTGTTAAATCACTGGGGAACATTGGCACAGGCATGTCCATTGACATTCTGTTGAAGTTCATTGATCTTGTATGAAATCTGTTCACTGTAATCAGGGATCGATAGTTCATGTCTCTGTCACTGTGTCAGCATTACAGCCCCTGTCTTTATTTTGCATGCTCCTCTGCGCATTCAGAGACATTGCTGGACGCATGATTAAATATTCATATACACAGTACACTCTTCCCTTTGGCCCTGTTTTTTTCTATTCTGTCTTATTTTAACATCCCAGCATGATTTCTGCAACTACCCATAATTCTTCTCTTGCATTGCAGAGCCTGATTGCTGCTGGGTACAGGGGGGCATGGCTGCCTCTTTTTTCAACATTCTAATAGTTTTTCCCCACTTTTACATTTACCATTAAAGTTTGATTGACTTATTCAAATCTCTCTAAACAGTGCTCAATGCGTCTAAGCTGATGGAAAAAAGAAGATAAGCTTGCTTTCAATTGTTTCTCTGCTTCATGGGGTTTTTGCCCTCAGTTTCACCTCTTAGGTGAAATATAGTCATTGTGACCCCCTGCTCTCGCCATTTACATCTCTTCATCTCTGAATTTATCTCAAACACTGTCAATCAAAAACAAAAGTTGACCGCAGTTTGCTCTTTTTTGTCCAAATCCTCTGTCTGCAGACTTCATGTTCCCATCTCTTTGTGTGCCGTGGGAGTTGACCTTGTGTTTCTCACAGCTCTTCTACAGTATAAGCCTGCGTCATCCTTTCTCCTGATATTCACCCCCCTCCCTCCTGCTTTCCTTCTACTTATCTTTACTACTGTCCTCAGCTAACCCCGCTCCAACCTTCAACCCACTTGCGCTTCACTGTTTTAGTTCATCATGGATCCTCGCTGTTGGAGTGTCATGGACTCCGGGGATCAGGGTCATATAGTGCGACAGACGTCAGCATCTGGACAGAGAACAGATGAGGAGGAAGTTTGGAGGAAGAAGGGTTAAGATAATGACAGTTCTTTATAATCCTTCAATCCTAATGCTAATACTGTCCTATAGACATAAACTGGTTCGTACTCAAAATGTAATGAATGAGTTCATTTTTGTTCTATATGTATATATATATTTATATTGCTGTGAGCATGAGTTGCAAATAATTAAAACAAATTACAGTCTAGTATGTAGTCTTAGAAATAACAGCATGACATGTCAAAGAGAAAAAACAATAAAAGAAACAAAGATAATTGGTTATATAAATAAAGATAATAATAAAAACAACAAGAAAATATATTTAAAAGAAAGGAAGCACACTTATAGAATTAGTCTGACTAAAAGTCTAACAATATACATTTTGGACTGGCATAAAACAAATCAACAAATCCTCACATTTAGTTAGCTGGAACCAGAGAATGTTTGGCATCTCTATTTGAAATATGACCCAAATGATGAATCGCCTAACATAATAAAGCATCAACTAATTAATGTATGAAGAAATCTTTCCCAGCTCTACCTGAAATCTTTCTGTACGGAATGAAAAGCTATTTGTGACATTAAGCTACTTCTTTCACGTAATAAATATAAAATAGAAATAATAATCAGAGGATTGTACAGCATTGCTGCTGAGAGACAATATACATATGCACGTGTTTTCTTTATCTGTGCACAGTGCACAGCAGGAGTAGGACAAGCTTTACTGCTTGCACTTTGCACTCCTCCCTCCCTTCCTTTCCTCATACTGTAAGCACGGCTCTGCCCACTCACACCACTGAATGCCATCACATTAGTATGCAGTTATCACGTTGCACATCCACTCCTCATTTTTTCACTGATGCCGTTTTAATGCATTGTGCGTGTTAATTTCTAACACGTAAATCTTGTAAAAATA